ACAGTAGCAGAAGAATAACATCCCTGTCTCTCCCAAATGGAGAGTAAGAATGTAAGAATGAAGTCAGCTCAAGGAACAGAAATCTACATATATAAAGCCATCTGACACTCATGTATTGTTTAGATGTGCCTAAATAGATGCTGTTTCCTATAAGACCAGAGACTAGACTGCATCTTGCATTGTTATACTATCTGTACAATAATTTCAGGTACCAATATCTAAGAAATAAAGACTGCAGGATTATGGTGGCTTTAGAATTTTAAGCTTAGCCACCAGAATTTTAATGCTGCCACCTTTGTGATATCTGTTAATGATGGCTACAGAAACTAACATTTAATTTCCATTTTAATTTGCATTAGTAAAGTGAGTGATTAGTGAGGTACAGACTTGGCACACTGCTGAGATGATCGTGGCAGGACTTAGTTCTCAGCTCTACTTTTTTGGGGCTTTTACTAGGTATGAGAAATGGCAGTGTCCTGTACTCGGCTCAGTAGAGTACAATTTCTTTTGCAAACATCTCTTTCAGGAATATAATGAAATCTTTGATTCTGTGACAATTAACGTTGCACAAATAAAGGTTCTTGGCCATTATTTTCATGCTATCCAAATGCTTTAGGAATAGCCTATTAGTTATCATTTGCTGAAAGAGGAAGGGTTTGGGTTTTTTTGCTCCGTTTTGCTTTTGTCCTTGTATGCATCAAAGCCCATAAGGGCTCCTTTACTGTTATCCCTTGCTGCTGACTTTGAACCACACCTGTGCTTGAAGACTGGTAGGAAGCCACAGAACAGAAGTCGATACTAAGTAGTTTTATTCTACATTTCCTGATATTACTCTTGCTAAAAATATCTTACGCCTGGAAAAAAAGTCAATAAACACCATTTTTATCATCGTGGCTTTGATTGTCATGCTCCAAAAAAAAATCTGCAGAGCAATTGGCTCCACTTTATGCCAGATACAGAAACTAGAGCTGAGTAGGTCCCATCCTCATCATCTCATGCGACAAGAAAGCTGAATAACACGGTGAATTAAAATCCCACTTTCCTCTTCTGGCAACTTAAAATGAGCCCATTACGTGTATATTTAGCAAGGACACACGACAAAACAAGCATGCAGCAAAGATTTCACTCTTTTTCCAGTGTTCATTGCACTGTGATGACTATTGTTTACCAGTCTATAAGGAGTTAATTCAGGACAGTTCAATTTAACAGGATTTTTGCCATTAGCTTCAATGAGACTTGGGTTTCTCAGCTCCTCAGTTTTTTCTTCTTTATATCCCTTGATTACCCTTCTCCAGCCTGCCTTCCTGCTTTATGGCTTTCCTAGAGATTGGATTCCAGTTTCACCAATTCCTTTTCCTCTTTCTGAATAGAATGGAATTCTTTCCCATCCTTAATATGGACATAAACTGTAAAGGGATCCTCATTTCCAAGGTGTCGTCTCAAATCTTTGACAATTTCTGTGATCCGTAATTCAGTGACTTGACAAAAATAAAGGAATAGTTTAAGAAAACATGTTCCTAATCTTCAAATGTTTCATTGTCAGAGTCAGCACAACAGCACACTGGCTTTTGTTATGAACATATTTAAAGGCAACAGAAAAAACATGATATACAATGAAAAAAAAAGGAAAGAAAATCACTCTAGTAAACAGTTCACACTGAGATCCACAGTTGATGTCTATTTTAAAGATCCATCTTCTGATTTGAATTCTGAAAGTTTCAGTTAGTTCAATACAAAATGAAGATGTTGAAGGATGTGTCCAGTGAGGATGATGTCCGTGGTAACACTGGGAGTTACTCATGCCTGGGTAAACCTCAAACGTCCATAAACATGTTCGCCTTTCAGCTGAGTGCTTGGAACAGACTCTCAGTTCCCAACCTTAATCTCAGCAAATACAAACTGTATGCACATGGAAGTCTGCATTTGCAGATATCAGTATCTTCCTGTGTACACACTAAACATATTATAATGCTTCTCTTATACATAAGCAGTAGGACTTTCATTTGTAAAGAATTTTCATCTGTAACATAAGCAAAACCAATATATAACACCATTTTCTCCACTTGTAAATAGATAATTAATTTTGAAAGCTTCACGTAAGGAATACAGTATTTTTAATTTTTAACAGAAGTTTCTGTTGCTGACAGGAAGATAATCTTTCAGGAGCTGTGAGTACACAGATTGGAGATTAGCTTTTGAAAAAGTGTATTGCAGAATAGATGTTATTTTAGGCAGATCCTACATTGTTCCCATGGAAGTTCTTCCGTCCTTAAGTTTATTCAAGGAAGATAATAGATTATGGAAAACTGAAGTAGAAAATGTTAAAAGCAACACATTATGTAAAATTTACATGCTAACTAAAACAATAAATTAAGTAGGTTTGTATTTTAACAAATAGATGGCTCTGGAACACAGGAAGTAAGGTGGTAGACAGTCCAGATGCATTTGCGGCAGTTGAAGCAAATTATGTTGCTTAGGTTTCATGATCAGTTACAGCTAACCTACTCCTATAAAATTTTTGCAAAAACGAATCTAGAGTCTATTTGCGTTATCCTAAAATAAACCACTTTGTCATTTATGCTTCAAAATAAGTACTCTTTGGAAAATAAACTGATACATAATGCTAAAACATGTGCAAAACATTTTCTGAAATTTACACATCTTTCATAGTACCCTGACAAATACTGCTTTACTTTGAGTAAAGTCAAATTTAACAATAACTCATACAGGATTTCACAGAACGCACTACAAGAAAACTCAAACTTCTACATCCATTAGATTAATTTGGCACACAAATACTACAGATTTTCTAGTACAATACTTATTTTCTTCAAGTGTACAGCGTAATCAAAACCTCTGAATGCTACTTTCTTCTGTTGTGTTGGGTTTCCAATCACTGAGTAATTCTTTAGGTAAAGTAGCAATGCACAAATGACCTAGTTTTATTGTACATGAATGCCAAGACCAAGTAAAGGGCGTATCAATACTGATTACCAGGAATTAAGTTTTAAGATCAAGCTGTTGCATATTTTATCTTCATTACGGAGTTTTTCGTAAGACCACAATGCACCGAGGACCCAGTGTGGGTGCAAGAACTGTGCGACAGCTCTGGCATGCACTGTCTCAAGGTACTGCGAATCACAACTGAATGCAAGTGCATTGCAAGACGCAAAACAATCCAAGTAACTTACTACAGAACACCATCAACCATCAAACAAATTTATAATAACTCTTAATAAAAAACCTCATTGGGTGAGATTTCCCACTTACCACTGTTTGAGGTCAGAATTTCAGCTGGAGTCTGACTTCTAGTGAAGCTATGCAGATGGACACAGACATCAGCTTGGGGATCCGATGCACGGTTTCCATTATGTCACCGTGCCAGTGAAGAATGAAGCGAGTACCTGTTATTTCAGGCATACAGCAGCACCAGTGTTTCTGGACAGATGTACCTTACAGAGGTCTATGTGCTACAGCTGCAACTAGATCCCAGTTTTGTGATGCACCACTACACCTTTGGCAGCGGCTTAAACTTTCGTGCCAAGTGACTGACACGCTCAGGGTTCCCGACCTCGAGCTCCACCTCGTTCCCCACACTCTGCTATGGCAATGGCTTGGTCCCAAACCAAGAGGCTGTTCCCAGGGCCAGGAAAGACAATCAGCTGCTGAAGCAGTCTGTGCCCATCAAATCAATCTCTCCTGCCTCCTCCAAAGGAAAGGTGCAGGCCAGATGGACATCTCCTGTGACAGTCTGGTCTACGGGCTCCTGTCTGGATGACGTTGGCGGCTCTAACACATGACAGTCTGAACTTGGGCATGAGGGCTGAAGACACTCAAAATAACCCTCCTAAGCAACATAGAAAGATAACATATTTAATTCACTCTAATATCTTAATATCCACTTCAAAGCTACAATTGTGAAAATAAAAATATACTTGAGGCTTATGTCCGATTAAGTTGTCAAGGCTCTAGCACTCTTCTGTGACAAGATACTTGGTGCTGTAGTACGCACCTTAGGATTTGGCTCCAGACTGTTTAAAGCTCTTGGAAAGGAGAAGCATGGCAGTCAAAAAGACAATGAACGAAAAGATTTTGTTGAATAAAAGGTATAGTGGGTTTTTTAGTGGAATGTGTCGGCCTTGTTTTTTCTCTCTTTTTTTTTTTTTTCAACTGGGGTGATGGGTATAGCGCGAGGAAGGGCAAGAAAGACGTGATGGATAAGAGTACAAGAGTATGGGGTTATGAAAATGCAAAAGCGGAAAAGGGACAATCACCTACTTGACTGATCCAGAGTTGGACTCTGCCGACCACGTAACGGCAAACGTGCAAGAGGACAGCAGGCATGTCAGACAACTTATATTCGTGCTGGCCCCAGCAAACATATGACTCATAATACTCATTCCCTTCACATATTTGGATCTTACTTCCTTTGTAACAAATGTATCTCACCCCCAAGGTGAACGCTTTTGCTGGTACAGATTTTCTTCATCAGCTCTCTCTGGAAATTGGCAGGCTAAGAGACGTTTTCGTTATCACAGTTCATGAAGCACCCACAAATCAGATCTTTAAGGCAATCAATTGTAATTATGTAAAATCTAAGGCTGCATCCAGCTCTCCCACTTTGCTCATGCTACTGTAAACTGCACGATTTCAGTGGAATAGGTTTTGACTGTTATCAACAGAAATAAGATCAGAGTTGGCCCTAAAATTACGTTTTAGGGAACATAAGAAACTACGCAAGAAAGATAATGTATTTGAGAACATTTTTAATAAATAATGTGACAAAAATTACTTTTCTGATTATTGGATCCTCAGTATGCAAAATTATGGCTAAAATATGAGGTTTCTTACATGAACATAATGAAAACATTAATCACATGGATTGTTCCTTTAGTACTGCACACCCTTTCTATGGAACCTTTCTTTAAAAATTAGCTAAATGAAAAATTTCAGTCCTCGGTAAACACCAAAACACTTTTTTTTTTCTTTTTTTTTTTTTTTCATTGGGGCTAGTCCTGATAGCTGTCAATAAACAAACACACATTTTTCCATTAGCACCAATGACAAAGAAATTTTATAATTACAAAAAAAGATCATAAAATCTACAGACAGAGGACATCATTTGGCAAATTCAATGCAACTAATGCCTCTATTTCAGCTTTAATGATAATCCAATGTTGAGAGAGGCCACAGCAAAATTGACAATTTTCTGTAAGTCCAGGAAAAGTGAGAAGTGTTTTGATTATGGCCCACATTTACGTTTGTTACTTTACCGTCTGTCATCATTCAAATATTCCAAATACAAACATAAAGCATTAACAAAAAGATGAACAATATCCCAAACAAATGCTTAAGATTTTCAATAAGACAAAAAAAAAGGTTAATAGTTACAATGGTTTACAAACAAAGTTTAGTGATTGTGCTTTTAAAACCAAAAAAAAAAAAAAAGATAAGCAGTGCATTACAAAAAAATTAATTGCCAAGATCAAACAAAACTTCTTTAAGTGGCACTTCTTCTTTAAGGTGAATTGACACAAGTAGAGGTCTGAGATTTGGGCCAGTAACAGTGAATGATATTACCCAATCATTATTAAAAATGTCCATTGATTTTCCTGCTTATTTTCATAAGCAGTGTTGAAGCTGAAAATTAGAAAAAGTTTCAGACAAACTTGCTCGATTAGGCAAATAGCAATCACATTGGCTTACCTCCTGCCTACCCCAAAGGACATTTTTAATAAGAATGTACTTAATGATGAAAATGGAAAGACAAATCAAAGTACCACAGGGGTTTTAAAATGAGTACATATTTACAATAAGAGCCATCTCATCCCAAATTAATTTTACTTGCATTTGTAAAACTGTATCATCTGCAAAAGGTTAGCAAGAGACTGGCAGAAAAAAGACCCACAGTCTGTATTGAAATTGCAAGATACTGTTGGCACTAACTGCAGACTACAGTGAAACCCCGAATAAAAGAATGTTCTGCATGACGTTCACTTTGGGGATCTTTTTAATCAATGCTGTATTACTTGCAATGTTATTGACTGGCTCACTGGTGTATCGGCAGTGTACTAAGCACCACCTCACGGGGGAGAATCCTCGGGATCCCAGGCTCTGGAACCCCCTTCTGTTCTAATCCTGAAGTAGCAGCTGGCCCAAGTACCACGAAGAGCAGCTTACCTGCCTTCTTGGGCAGCGAAGGTGATGAGCTTAGCGTTACGGAATAGGCAAGGGCCGTTCCTAGTAAGGAGGGTTTACAAAAAAAGAGTAAAATAAAAACTAGCATTCTGATGGCATGAAGAAAAATGAAAAATTGTACACTCTGATTGCACTGAACATTATTTCTGGCGTCAAACATCATCAGACTTGAGGCATCTTAAGTGATTTTTTTTTTTTCTGATTAGATTTTAAAAGCCTGTTACAGTACATGTCGTTGTCTTCAGCTTTCTGTTTCCTGTATTAAAAAAAAGAGACATAAATGACTATATGTTAGATTTTATTAGTAAAAGTTTGTTTCACATACTTTGTAGAGATTTGTCACCTTTAAATAATAATTACTACTTTATCATGTGCAGCAATGTGACTGCATGTTGGACACCCTTTCTACCATCAGGATTTAAATTCAATTAATATCATTTGGCACAAAAAGAAGAAAAAAAGTTCATGCCTTAATATCTAAGAAAATCAAGAACGACAAAATTTCAAAAAATGTGAAAGGCAATGTCAAGGTGTTCTTAGATGCTCTAATGCTTTATTTTTACTTTTGAAAGAATCTGGATAAGGTAAAGTGCACATTTAAATATTTTATTTCTGCAAATTCTGTTCTATAGGTTTTACTGTGGTGACAGTTGTACTATATTACGTAGTACTTGTTTTTTATGTTTTTGACACATTCCTAAAGTTTATTTTCTTGGATTGTGCATAACATTAACAGACAGAGAGACGTACTAACTAATTTTTCAGAAGAGAAATATTTCTGGTTCAAAAGTGGGGTTTTTGGCATCTGTCTAAGCACAGAAAATAGCCTTATTCTAATAATCTTCAGTAGAACAACTACAGTTACCTCCATCTCTTCTTCTTCCTCTTCTTGTTCATACGCTCCCAGTACCTGCATTTCTGCAACATTCCTTCGGGCTATATTTGTTTGATCTGCCCTCTGTCTACCTCCTGATCCTCTTGATGACATGGAGCTGGAGGAGCTGGGATCTCTAGGATTATTTGATGTTGGAAACGTTGGTCTAGAATATGGCAGGATGTCCTCTGTATAACCAAATATATACACTGTTATGTTTACAAGGCCAGAGATGCCATGATCCAAAAATTTCTGCATGCAGTTGATTTATTTTACTTTTTATGATCCTCAGTAGGTTTAAAGTGATTCCTGACAGGAATACGCAATACATGTTTCCATAATAGCATTACAGAAGCTTTCCAAAGGAAATTTATAGTATTAACATGGTATTATTCACCACAGAAAAATTAATTCATGATTACTGTCCACTTCATTTCAATTTATGATCACTGCTCTATGTTCTACAGGAAAATTAATAATAATAAAAGAAAAACCTCTTGTAGTATATTTTCAATATGACTAAGTAGGAGGAAATGACAATACCTTCATGATACTCACAAGGAGCTCATTGCATCTAAATATTAGACCCTGTATTTCTCAAATTAAGTTTGAAACAAAATTAGTGGGCAAGTTTTAAAATTTTAGCACCATTCTCTTAAGGTAAACTTCTAGTAACTTTTCGCTATAGTAATCCCCTGTAATCAGTACCAATCTCTTACTAATGTGCCCATTTAACCAACTTACTGCCCAGTCACCCCTGATATTGACCCTGGATACCTGTAGGAAGAAAGGACCAGGCATTTGTATGAATCTGTGTTGAAAGCCTTAGTGAAAACTCGGCAAATTCCATTAATTGCATTCCATTAATTAGTAATCTTACCAATTTCCATAAACAAGAGATTACGTTGATGAGGTCTGATTCAGATAATGTCACATCAGTTAGTATTTATAACTAATGGATTACTGCTACGTCTTTCTTATTTTTAAATAGGACCAGGTTTACAAACAGACAAAATGGGCCAAGTGTCAATTCTTTTGTAGAAAAGTAGAATATCTGACTTACAAATTTGATTTCACTCAGTTCCCTTGTAAATTAGATTATAATTAGATAGATTAGACATAACTAGACTGCAAACATATGGTAGGGGCAAGAATACTGATCCTTACAGCTCTTGAGGAATATTTCTGTTTGGGCTTCCTCAGCGTTAGCTTTAATACATGATGGGTGCATAATGAAAGCAAGACAGAAAATATATGTTTTTTGTAAGCTTTTGTTTCTGTTTTACCCTAACGAGAACCTGCAACATGTCCTGTATTAGTAACTTTAATTACAATAAACGGTGACAATTCAGCACAGAATCACAGAATGTTAGGGATTGGAAGGGACCTCAAAGGATCTTCTAGTCCAATCTCCCTGCCGGAGCAGGACCACCTAGATCAGATCACACAAGAACGTGTCCAGGTGGGTTTTGAGCATCTCCAGAGAAGGAGACTTCACAACCTCTCTGCGCAGCCTAGCTTCACTCACACCGTTGGTGTGAGACCTGGAAAGAGCTGTCTCTTCCTTGTGATCAAGACACAATACTTCATTAAACCCAGAGCATGCAAAATAACCTTGAAGAAGATGAGTTTTTGCTGGTGTGCCTTCTCGTTTTGGTGCTTTATTTCCTCGCAGTTTCCCATCGTTTTGCTGTTCCTGTGATTCTCTCCGCTCTCCTGAATTTGTCCGCACATCTGAATGCTGTCGCCCATCCACCCCGTCCCTCCCCTTGTAGCTCGCTCCTTTCCTTTCAGCAGATCTGTCTGTCCTTGCTTCGATAGAGGCAAGTTTTGGCAACATGACCGGCCGCACCTCCAGCTGTGATTTGGACTGAGCAGTTGGTGATTTTATAGCTGGAGGTGGCACAGGAGGAGGTGGCAAGTCTACAAAGTTGAAAAAGAATAATAATTACCAGGATGTCATACACTAATGAAATTAAGAAATAATATTTAACTTACACTAAAGAAACAGATGCCCTATTTACTTTCAGCACTCCCTCTGCCCTTCTCTCGTCACCCCAAAAAGTATTATGTTAATGTTATGACTATCGATGGGTATTTTTGCAAAGTTTGAGCTTCAAAAACGCAAAGTAAAGACTTCTCATTGCCTTTTCAAATCGCAATATTTTCTTAAAAATCATTACAAAAAGCTGTAATAAACTTTAGGTGCTTGGATATTAATATATCGGTTATGGATATCAACACAGAGTTAAAAGATATTAACAGATCTTTGCTGATGTTTATCATTTACGCCAAGTACGTTCCACAGCACAGCACCTTGTGCTATAGTTACTTAAGGTCTTCAGTGTGCTGAGAGTTAAAGCAAGTTGGCTGGGGTGTAAGAATGTATATCAGATGCATTGTTGATATATGCTAGGATAAACTATATTAATTATAGCATTCTTCTTTCAAAATAATAGGTTAATCTAACATACATATCCCTGATGACTGTAGGTATCTCATGAGATACAAAAAAATCCACTCTCAATCAACAAAGTAACAAGCTCTAAGGAAGGACAAAGAAAAAGAAAACAAGACACACAAGACTTGAACTTGTCTCCTGAAGTTAGCATAGCTTATGGTGTTCTAAAATTCTGTATATTTTTAAGTACTATTTATAAGGCACACATATGTTTTACTCAGTTAAATTTTTCTATTCCTGCATTAAGACTTAAAACTAGAATGTGCAAACTGTTCATCAGGATACAATAGTGCTCTGTGGAATATGAAATGTGAAGGAAAGAAATGTCAAACAAGGAAGCAACACTACAAAAGCCATTCACAACAGAGCTGTAGGAACAAACCACATGCATATAAGAGAACAGAAGGTTAAAAAAAGTGAGATGTGAAAGATGTTTCTGAGGTTAATATTCTCAAATGAGATTGCTAAAAAAAAAACAGCAACACTGTTAAAAAATGTAACTTCAGCATTTTATAAGAGTATGCATTCATTCTTTCTACTTCCACAAAAATCTTGGAGCAGCTGTGTTTTTCAAACACCATCACTATATATACAGCTAATTCACAGTCTATTCAAGAGAACATTTCAACTGAAAATTAACTAAATTGGGCCAAGAATAAAGGTAGTTCTCCTGAATCAGAAAAAAAATAGACATCTAATATATACATATAAATTCAGATATGGCAGATGCCAGATATTTTCGAGAGGTTTTCCAGTGACGCAAAACACAAATGACTTGATCCAGCTCGTGGAAAGGTGTAGCAATGCAGAATGCAGTGCTCTGTGCAGGCTTACTGGGCACCATCCTCCACATTAAACCGGTGACCTAACTTGGAATTGCCCTTGACCATCCTGACTGGGATGATGCAGAAGAAAGACGTCATAAAGTTAATTTCCTAAAGTTGGACATAATTCAGGTAAATGAGATCTGTAACATCATTCTTGCTATATTAACTCCACTGTCTTGGTAAAAAAAAACACCCAGAAAAGATGAAAAAAAAAAACCACAAAACCCCAACCAAGCGACCCACAAAACTTCTCCTTGTTCTAATTTATGGCTTGAATAAGGGACCAAATCCATTTAACAAAAACCACAGAAACTTCTTTCCTTCCTTTCCTCTTAGCTAAGAACGAGTTGGACAACTGGCCTCATATTCCTTGCAAATTCTGTATGGTAGTTTGTTTTTCAAGCTCTGGCAGTTTGGGGAACATCAGTTTTAGAGAGGAGCTAAAGGTAAACAATTGAATACTGACACTTAATTTAAGCATCTACTTAACACTTACCCTTTGCAGATGTCTTTAGAAAAAGCACTGTCATTTCCAAAATTTGAGAAGGCATAATATAAATTAGCTGGAAGCCCGGATATACTAAGTGGCTGAATCAAAATAATTTTATTTATGGAGTGGGACTTATTAGACTACAAAGTAAGAGCAAAGACACATCTGTGGGCAATGGACTGGACTTGTTTAACTGAGGGAACTAAAACTGTAAAATGGAGAAGTAACTTCTGATTCAGTAAGATTTGAAATACAACAGATTTTGGCAAGAAAGCACAGAATCAGTTACATTGCATTCCTTTGTAATTCATAATGCTTTAAACATGGTTTACAGTGGTAACCTCTGTTCAACACACAACCTTAGCAGGATTCAAAGTACCTCCTCTATGCATCTAAAAATGCCCTGTGAGCTCTAGCCATCAAAGACTGAACCAAACTACTTTTACTGTGCTGCCCAGCCCTGTAGATGCTTAAATTCAGTATGTGCCTACAAGTGTGGACATTTGGATCACAGGGCTCCATAGCCATGTGAGCTTAAGTGTCACTACCTGCTCCAAAAAATCTTGGTCTGAAGAAGTATATAACCTCTTGTAATTCAACAATCAGGTGAAAAATCATGTGAAGACCTCAGAATATCATGCGATATGTTCCTTGAAAGCCCAGTGCATCAGATCATGTCAGATCCAGCCCAAAGCTTATCAAGCACAACTGTTCTTCAAAAGCAATGCTGGAGATGGTGCTAGTTCCCCGATTTTGCAGAATACTTTTAGGGATTATAGATTTAAAAAATAAAATAAACTCTTCGTTAGCCTGAAGAGATTCAAACAATATCTTCCTTTCTCTGAAAAACACCCTTCTCACACATCCTCTGTCACAAAAGGACACACCGAATCAGAAGTGGATGAAGATACTCAGACTCAGAAGTGTAGGCTTCTGGATCCACAGTTGTTCATGCAATATCTTGTGTCTCTCATTCCCCACTCACTGCCTCTATTAAGCTATCAGAGCACTGAATAGTCTTTCTGTTGAGCCTGCTGATGTAAAGGGAATGTAAGTACTTAGTATCAAGCCTTTTCAGTCACCCTTGGAGTCAGTCTCCAACAGTTGTGACACAGCTATGCATTGGCTGAATACCAAAGGGAACCAACAGCATCTTTCCTGTAGCCTATAAAATACAACTTGGAACAAACTACTTTATTCAAGAATCCTATCCAGCTACATAGGACAATGAACAAAGCAGTGTTAAGCCTTGACTATGAAAAGGAAAGATGCATTGATATAAAAAGTTTCATAAAATGGTAGTAGCTCTATGGTACAGTAATAACTAAAGGAAAGCGATATTCTCTTTCAAGAACATTTTTGCAACCTGCAGGGAAAGTATAAAAATCTTCATTATAACTCAGTACTACTTGCTGAGAATAATCCTTTACAGAGGAAAAAAACCCCAACTTTTCAGAGGTCAACACTATTACACCCCTGTGGTATTTATTTTAACGGCTCAGATCACAGAGAAAATCCAGTTTCAATCTGCCTCCTTGAGTGCAAACTGGCACACTTCTTATTAAATAGAAAATAGAAGCTTCTATTGTATGGAATAAAAAATAAATCACAAAGCAACATCAAACCAATATAAAGAACTGAGAAATATTTGTTAAAGGTCAGCTGTGCTCACATGTTTCATTCATGTCTATATATTACTGTGGTACTGCTTCCCATGTAACTAAAACAATTAATGGACGACATTTCATAGCACAGTCTACAGGGGAAACCTTCTGCACATGTCTTTTGAAAGGAGCCATCATAATTTCTTAAATGAGAATATATACAAGAGTCATGGGATAAGCAAAACACCAGTGGGAAAAATAATCTGCGAAGTTAGTTTGGCACTGAAGTGGAGAAATCACAAATAAGCACAAAAAGATGATTTGTAAGTAGTGACAAATGAGAGAAGTAGGCCTTATTAGGCAACTCTTTTAAGCTTTATCAGGCTGCAGATTTCCATAGTCATACCCTGGAGAAAACAGCAGTTATAGATTTGATGCAATATTGGAGAAGATACAGAGTGATTTTTTTTTTCCTATTGTGTATTTATGCAGGCATAAAAAACTCAAGATTGTTCCTGACTTAGTAAAGTTTTAAGATCATTTAAGATTCCTAGATACATAACAATCTCAGCTACTATTATTGATGTGCTGAAGTTATTTTCATGCTTTATCTTTCAAGAAACATGGCTCAAACTGTACATAGTAATTGGATGAATAAATAGATAGAGCAAAACCCAGTACAATGCATAAAAGTAGTGGGTTGTTGGGTTGTAGGGTTTTTTTTGCCTATATGTACATTTACATAATGCTTTTATCAAAACAATTTTCATTCCACAAAAACTCCTACTGTAACAAACTCAACATTCCACAAAAACTCCTACAGTAACAAACTCAACATTTACAAAATATCTCACAATGGAACCAGAAGTAAGTACTGAAAGAGAGCAGGTATCTGAAAATTATTATCATTGAATAACAAGGTTTTTTTAGCAGAGGCGAGAAATGCATCCTTACTTATTTTTTACCTTGCTGAAATTTGAGCAGAACAGATTTTTTTTTTCTTGTATTGCACAGGCAGAGGGAGACAAAAGTACAAATGATGCCGGCATGCATAATGGCTTAACATTTCAAAGTGAAAATTCAAGGAAATATTTGGCAGATATTCAATTGCCTTTTGTGAGAAATTCAGCTGCCCTGATGTCATGTCATTGATAATACAACTAAATAACTCAGTTACAGTCTCAATCAGTTAGTTGTGAAAATGTTTGTATTTTTCTCTTTGTCACTCAGAGATTTAAAAAAAGAATCAGGATCTAAAATCTCATGTGAACTGTCAATGGCGTAATTTCTATAGAAAGACCTACTGAATCGAAGCAATGACAAAGTACTTTTGTCCTTTTTATCTAAATACTTACAATTCCGAGTGCTTGTAACTAGCAATAAATCAATTCAAGACAGTTCAGAAGAGACTTTCATAAGTATAATTTTAGAAAAGACAAAAATATCCTTTTAAAATTTGGTTTCTTAAATTAAATATGCAAGTAGGTCAGGCAAGGTTCAGAAGGAGGATACATCTGCTAGTTGGTTCTTGTAATGCACTCTTAGTAGTTAACTCTCTAAAAGGCTAGATGAAGAGTAATTAAAAATTCATACATTTTAATCCTTACCACCTACTGAGAAAAGATTTTTAGCAACAAATATGGAGAACATTTCACCGCTTGGATGACTGTCAAGGAACAAAACAACTGAGCGAAATTCCCATTCCACATAAAGTAGAAAACTGATTTGAACTAATGCTAGCAGAAAATACAAAATTGTTACTACTTATACAATGCAGAGCACTTTAAAAATCCTTTCTTTAAAAAAGGGTAGTAGTAGACCTTTTAATGTTACCTCAGAAACAAACCCACTTTCAGAATTACCAATCTCTTTCACAAATGTTGCTGTATAAAGAAAAAAAATACAGATTTATTTTTTTAAGACTTACATATTTTGCTGCTGCTGATACTCTTGGCATTTTCAATCATTCATGCAAAGACTTGATTTATTTATATATCCTTTCTGTCAACTAATCAGGTAAACTCTTCATGACACTGGTGTTTCATGAAACTGCTAGCAAAAACTAATTCAAGTAATTTGGGAAGAGTAGAAAATTCTTTATATGTGAAAGTAAATTCAATTTTAAAGGCTGAGAATGTAATGAATCAACGTATTTATCTCTTTTTAGTATTTATTCAATGCTTTTAGCCACCAGTAAATGCTTAAATTCAGAATATCTGCTTTGCTCTACCATGAACACATGTATATTTACCCACTATGAGGAAAAAAAAAATCTTTGTATTAGGCATTCCTTTATAAAAAAGATAAGTAACAGTGTGACATGAAGGCAACTGAAAAACCTAAGTATATCCGGGAAAGGTCAATTGGGCTTAAATGTTTCATTCATTTCTCCATATCACTTTTCTCCGCTTAAGGAAAACAATTAGTAGATGTTATTTTATAGATAATTCTAAAGGGACAACGTACTAGATGTGGCTATTAAAAGGAATGGTTAGAGTCTTCAGTAAGGTTCCAAATATGCTTATGGAATGTCTTAAGGGGGGGGG